TAGGACAGAAAGTGACTTCTATACTTTTAAAATTTATGCAAAACTTAGGAGGTCTTTAGACCGAGCCAACTATATGTGAGGATTTTAGCCGCAAAATTCTTCCAAAGAGGAAAAAAATATAAAACCTGCAAATAGGGTCAATAATTATTGAAAACTATCCAAGAAAGAAATTTATATGTGAATTTGCCAAAGAAGAAGCAAAAAAAATAAACAATAGAAAAAGAAGGCAGAATGAAAGTGAGCTATTACTTTAGTAAAAAGTGGATGATAAAATATAATATGGGTTGGAGCATATCACGTTACACGATTTATATATATATTAATTATATTGGTCATACACAAAAGAATAAATTGTTAAAAAAAATTTTTATACCAAATTAATAATTAACTTTCAAATATATTAAAATGTCAAACATTCCAATGATCATTGGTTTGTCTGTTGATGAAGATATAGAAGAGATTAAAAGACCACATATTAGTAAAACCATTGACCCTAAGTGGTTTGATGATTATCCATGGTTTGAGACTGAATCTGTTAATGGAAATACAATTTTATACTGTAAAGTTTGTAGAAATTGCAATTGGGAAACAGTACTTGCAAGAGGCATAATCTTTATTAAGGATAGATAGAATTAAAAACCATATGAAAACCACTGAGCATAAAAAATCTGAAGAATTACCTAGATCGAATATTTCAAGACAATTAAGCACAGAAGAGTTAGAAATTATTTCTAAAATGAGAATTGTTTATTGCTGTTCAAAATAATATTTCTTTAAACACTTATCCTTATTTATGCAAATTAACATCTCTACAAATTGAAAATAAGAAAGAATTAATAATTAGTGATAGAACCACTACCTTGAAACCTGCCTCTTTAAAAAAAACCATCACCATCTAAATCAAAATATTAATCATGCATCTGCTCTTGAATTCTTAGATCATCCGGAAAATATAAAAAAATTTTACACGTGTCAATTGTAGGTTTAATAATAAAAAAGTGTAAAACTTACGTCGGCACTGTAAGATTTACACAATATTACGTCGGCATCGTAAGATTTATGCAAGTTTACGCTAAATTAATTTCCCGATGATAGTATAGCATATATAATTAAAAAATCTCCCTTTGAAGAACTAAATTCTTCAATTTATTGGAGTATAATGATTGATGAAGTCAATAGTGTTGATGGTGATAAGTATTTAGCAATAGTAGGCAAATATATAATCAATAATATGCCATACATGAGATATTTGGGTATGATTAATTTAGACACAACTGATGGTGAAAATATATTTAATCAGATTATATCCTTTTGCACATCAAAAGAGATATCTTATCATAATATTATTCATTTTGGAAGTGATGGTGCTTCTAATATGATTGTATGAATTGATATTTAATTAAGTGAAATTTTTTTTTTTTATGTTAACTAATCAAAATTTTAATTAATAGGATATTTAAATGGTGTTGCAGCAAGATTTAAAAAAATCAATCCATTCATGACCTCAAATCATTGTATATCATATAGACTTCATCTAGCTGGCAAAGATGCATCAGAAGAGGTCACTTATTTTGGAAAATATGAAAAAACTTTAAAAAATTTATATAGCTATTTTTCAAAATCTCATAAAAGACAACAATATTAAAGTTGATGTAGGTAATTATATTTGTATTTTATTCATTTATTTATTCCTAATTTTTAATAACCTTCATCATAATTAGGAAATCAATGAAGAGCCATCACTTGTAGTATTAAATATGTGTGATACTAGGTGGTTGTCATTTTCAAATTCCGTGAGTAATTTACATAAATCATGAAATCTGTATTGTCTACTCTGAATGATATATTGAAGGAGATAAACTTGCAGAAATTTTATATCAACAATTAGATGACACTTTTATTTTAACAACAATGTATCTTGCTAATTTAACAAATATTTTAAAGAAATTAATCAATACATTTCAGTTGGAACATTTATCCATATCTCATTTTAAATTAGAACTTGATATTGCAATTAAAACAATTGAAACTAAATTTATAGGTTCTGAAGAGATTCTGGTACAATATTCAAAGAATATTTAGAAGATAACTATAATTCTATCCCATCATTTGTTAGAGAATACTCAATTGCAACCATTAATGCCATTAAGAACAGATTTCTAGAATCTGAATTATATAATGCTTTAGTATTTTTGATCTAAAAGAACTTCTGGATGATGACAGAGAGTTAGTCTTATATGGAAATCAAGAAATAGAATTTTTAGGTAACTTTTATGGATAAAATAAATTTGCAAATGAAAATGAATTTAGTGCAATATTTGATAAAGAAAGACTTAAACAAGAGTGGAATTTAGTTAAATATTATCTTCTGATCTATAAAAATAATAATAGAGAAATGGATTTTATTCAATTATGGCAACATATTTTGGATACTGATGATGATTTTTCTTTTAATTATCCAACAATAGTGTTAGTTGTTAAAATAGCACTATTTATACCTCTTTCTAATGCTCATGTAGAAAGAATATTTTCTCAAATGAAATTAATTAAAAATAATTTGAGGAATAAAATGCATTTAAATGCATTAGATAAACATTTAATGATTTTATTAAATGGCCCAGAAATTGATGACTTTGATTTTTTAAAAGCATATGAGAATTGGGAAAGTAAAAAAAACAGGGAGAAATAATTAATTTTTTTATTTTGTAAAATTATTGTGAAAATTTCAAAGTTATGTGCACACATTATGTGTAACGTGATACGTTCCAACTGAATTTTCAACACTGTTACGGAATGATTATGAGATTAATTTCAAAGATCTTGTGGTTGTTGTGCAATGAACCAAAAAGGTTGCTCAGAAACAAAAACAGCTCATTGGAAACCATTGATATTTATTCTATTATGACAGCCTTGATCTTCAGCAGAGCTTCTCTTGATCTTCTACATGGCACACAGCCACCCCAGTCACTGTATGTATCCCACTGGCTAACTTGATGAACATAGTTGATGACAAGATAATAAATGATCAAAGTTTTAAGCAAGTAAAAAATATTCAAGAGACAAATTGGTTTGTTTTTTATTTATTTTTTATTTATACATCCCAAATCAAAGGTCAAATTGATTGATTAAATGTTTTTTTCAAGTCTATATCACTATAGAAGAATAAATTTCGATTGTTAAAAAAATCAACTAAGCTTTTTTTTCCTTAATTAAAAAAAAAAGATCCTTTGCAAGGAACCCCTCACATGAATCAAAAGCTATTTGTGAATTTCAATTTTTCCTAGTATTTATTTATTTTATCCCAGATTAAAGGTCAAATTGATCAATTAGGTGTTTTTTCAAATCTATACTATAGAAGAATAAACTTCAATTGTTAAAAAAATCAACCTTTTTTTTCTTAATTAATCAGCATGTTCATAATTTTTCATTAATCAATGATTTATTGTTTTCTCCAAAAGGGAATCAAAAAAAGATTTGTTTTCTCTGAAAGGAAATTTCTGAAATGGTCAAAATCCAAAAAAAAAATTTTTTAATTATTGTTTGTTTATCAAACATTAAAATTGACAACAAAATAAAACTAACATGTTGCCGATCCTTTGATGATCTGAGGTAAGACAAGACCATCAGTTTTTGGTCATTTTGAACAGTCCGAAACATCAGAGCAAGACAAAGACTTAATGGTAGACAGTGTTGACACCATGCAAAAAAACATCTAAAGTAAACATGATTTCCTTTCAACCCTGACGCTTTGAACCAAATTTTTCAGTTTCACAAATCATGACAAGCAGATAGCAATTGGGATTCGTACTGTGAGATAGTAAATCTTGGACCTATCAATTACCCGGTTAATATTGACCAATTAGAACGAAATTTACTACGGAGGTCATGTGATATACTAAATATTATTATTGTAACGGCTACGCCGCACATTGTGCAGTGTCATATGAAAGATTATATTTCTATATTTATATTTATTAACCTACT